TATCAAAATGGGAAAAACCTTAGCTCTATCTGTGCAAATCAATTTAACTTATTTCAGATATTCCTTCTTAAATTAGATATTCCTTTTTAATTTTGACTAAAGTTATTGAATATCTACATACTTTGAAATAACATGAATTACTAAAATGTTTGCCACAAAAGTCTTACATTCACCTGCCTTTGGCGTTCTATTGCAGAGTGTCTATAGAGTGGTTTTGAAACTGTTGATAAATGTTCTGTGCTTTGTTGGAGATGTGTGACTTGAAAGTGAGAGTGTTCGCCAATGGAGAAGCTTATGTTTCTAAAGGTTATAAAATCTATATTAATACAAGAGTAATATGCTAATTAGGCTGGGAGACCTTCCGGACATCCTTCTGGACAAAGGCATGGTGGCAGTGCCGAGGCAGAAGCGGTTAGGGTTATTGGTTCCAATTCAATACCAATAGAAATCTTCCATTTGGGGTGTGATGAAGGGGGAGACTTTATTTAATACAAACATCTCAATTGTGATACCTCGTGACTGGGAACCAAATGGCTGTGGAAGAGCTCAATGTTGTTACAGCTCAATTATGAAACAGCATGGCTGTGGAACAGCATATCTGTGAAGTGGCACTGGGCATAAGCCGGCTCAGCCCAATGTTGTACCTCAGCCAGGGGTTGCCACTTGGCTGGGTCTTATAGGTCAACCTTTTTCGAGCTAGCCAATTTTGCTTAGCTCTGGTTCACACTGGTCAGTGGAAACAGTACAGCTTTACTTCTGTCCAGTGAATAGTCTCTGTTGTTTCATCTCTAGTAGGAAATGCAGTCTTAGGAGGAGAGGAATGTGAGCTCCATTGGGGACTGACTATTTAGAGAATTCTGGCCCCTGCTCCCTGATTTGTCTGTTCTGATGAAAATTGAAGACTCTAACCCTAGCCAGTTTGGTTCAATGGATAGAGCGTTGACCTGCAGAGTAAGGGTCCCAGGTTCAATTCTGGTCAAGGGCACATGCCTGGGTTGCAGGCTCCAGTCGTGGCCATGCAGGAGGCAGCAGACAAATGATTTTCTCTCATCATTGATGTTTCTATCTCTCTCTCCCTCTTCCTTCCTCTCTGAAATCAATAAAAATATATTAAAAGAAAATAGAAAACTCTAAACGTTCACAGTTTGGTCCAAAACGCACTGTTCTGATTGGTTGAAATAGAGCCACTCTGGTTCCTAAAGATGCTAATGAGGATATAGCTGCACAGTTCTGATTGGATGGGGAAAGTCTCAGTCCTATTGGTTGAAATATGATTTCAGGAACTCCTTTATTTAATTAAATTAATTAATTAATTTTTTTGTTAATCCTCACTGGAGGATATTTTTTTCCCATTGATTTTTAGAGAGAGTAT